TTCAAATTTATTAAATAGACTTGTTAGTTATTTTGATAATTCACTGGTACAGGGTCGGGAGGAACTAGATTAAGCGTATGGATCCTAGGCTAAGGGTTATTGGCAACAAGGACCATCTATACAAATCTATTTCTCGCGCGACAAGTTATACTTTTCTTATATAGAGGGTATATTCGTGATTTATCTTCTCATAATTATGTAATCTCTATAGGATTTCAATAATTATAATAAACTCGATTAACTTGTCAAAAAAAAAAAATATAGGTACCTATGATGAATCCATATCCTGGTAATAACAGTATTATTATCATAGATAATGCCAAAATTTACCATGATGCTAACCTTATTTCATTAATAAAGGGGTTAGGATATCACATAATTTTTCTTCCACCTTATTTTCCTGACTACAATTCCATTAAAACTGCATTCTTAACTATAAAATTATGGATTAAATATAACTATGATTTTATGGAGAGTTGTGATGATCCAATATATGCTTTATTAGTTGCATGTAGTCAGATTACTTCTCAGATGACACAATCATATCAATTTATTTGTAAAAAAAAAATTAATAATAATAAAATAAAAGAATAATATATTACTAAGCAATTAATCTTTATTATATTTATAAATGAATATACAATACATGTTATTATAAACATACATATTATCAGTATCTTTGTACTGCCTGCTTAATATTTTTTTTTCACCTAATTTTTACAATACCTAATACTTGCATTTCTTCATCTAACAAATCTTTTATAGAATTTACAGTAATTTCTTTATTGAGAAATGCATTTTCAAATTTAGAATACACATTATCACAATTATATTTTTAGTCCAGATTAACAAGAAATTCACTAATTGAAGGTAACTTATTATTTGTCACTGTAGGTGTATCTAATTAATTAGGAGAAGAGAAAGGATATTGAAATGATGATGACATTTAAATAATAATGGGTATAGTAGTAGATGTAGTGGCAGGTATAAAGCTTGATATAGGTACAATAGCAGAAGACGCACTAGCAGATGTAGCAGGTGTAGGTGCAGGTACAGTGTCATGTTGTCATCAACGTCTGACACCCATCAGTAGACTAAAATTAAGTGTTAGTTCAACATTATGCTTGGTTTAAATTTAACATACCTTTCTTTCTCTCATATCCTTAAATTTAACTTTTAAAATGCGATAGTTTCCCTCAATTTAAATAACTTTACATCGAATAATTAAAATTGGATAATTTTCCATGTTTTATTTCTGGACTTAAAATATTAGAATAAGGAAAAATTGTGTGAAAATATTTATGCTACTTCAGGACTAATAGAACTATTATGTTCAGACCTTTTTTACTAAGGAAATAATTAAGGATTGGATATTTTAAATATTTGTCTTTATTTATTATTTTTAATTATGAGTTTCTTTCTCTTATTTCTTTTATGTTTCTATCTTTCTTTCTTTCTTTCTTAAATTTCTTATATTCTCCAACTTTCCATCTTTCCTTCTTATTAATGATTACTAATTATTAATAATAAATTACCCCTTTATGACGTAATTGTACTCCTCCATTAAGTGATTTACAATGACTCATAATTAATCATGTTGATCATTTGCTTTGCCACATTACTACGCTATACTTTACTTTGTTACACTTTACTTTGTCACACTAATCACGTGCTAATTACGTGTTACTAAACTAAACTATAAATTATTTAAAATATAAATTAAACTATAAAAATATTTGTAAACGTTAATTCTTATACAATAAATATTATAACTAACTACTAATCTTTATGTAATCTATCCTATATCTTTGGTTATAATGTACAGATGCAGCAGGTGCAGTAAGTGTTTGATTATTATTGTTAGCCAATATGTCTAATGTTGTACTAAATGTTAGATAAGTTGGAGAAACTTCTTTGGTAGTATTTTTATTTATCTATAATGAATAAATATTATAAATATCAAAATAAAAATCAGTTTATTTAGTAAATAACTTACAATTTCTTATGCCCAAAGTTGCAATCTTGCTGGGTTGAGTTGTAGTAAATGATGACTATCTTGTATATAACATAAGTTGAATGTAAATTACACCTGTATTTTTTACATAATACAGAAATTATTTCTGCTCTAGTTTTTTCTTCTTTTGACAAATCCTTCTCTTTAGTAGTATGAGATTTTTTCTTCTTTTTAGAGCATAATGTTACTTTCTTCTCTTCAGAAACTGATAAATCACCTTTATCATCAGAAATCTAAAATTTATTATATCAAATTAGTATATTGAATATGTAAAAAAAAAAAAGAATAGTTATATATATATATATCAATTTCTTTACCTTTGATAAATATTTTTCAATCAATTTTATTTTCCCACTTGCAGCATTTTCATCAATTACTATCATCACTCCCTTTTTTTTATTAGCTGCAGTAATTTTTTGTAATCTTTAAAAATCAAGTTTATCTTCCAACTCACTTGAAAGACCTCATGTATTCATTGCTTTATATGATATACTATAATCTGCTGATTTAACATTTTCATTTTGAAGTGCTTTTTGAACAAAAATATTGATCTTTTCTACAATATTAGTATATCCAACTGGTTGAATAGTCAGAGCTTTAGAAGTAGAGGTTTTCTTATCCTTTCTTTCAATGCTCACATGTAATTTGATTTCATCAATGTCATACTTTTCAATCTCAAAAAATTCAGGAATTTCAATATTAGCAGCAACTTTAAATTTATATTTCATTTTCTTTTTAGTTGACTTATCTTTACTTTTTAATCTTTGAAACCTGCTGTTACAAGTAGAGCAAAAGGTGAAAGAAAAAGGTGCATTAAAGTTATTATTATAAAAAGAAAGTTATTTGCTATAGTTAAATTTTTGTCTGAAGTATATATATGGGATAAATTTGTTGTTCACATTTTGGCTTATTTATTCTTATAGGTTTTATACTTTTATTACATGTACAAGGATTTGGTTGTGAAATATTAAAACAAAATAAACATCTTTGACATATAAAGCAAATACCAGAAAAATATCCACTTGTCATTTTTTTTGATAATCATTTATCACGCATACTGCGCCATTTATAATAGATAATGTAATACAAATAAAAGTCTATTTTTATTGGTTGATTTACTATTTTCACTGTTTTTGATAATTATTTTCGATAAGACGCAGTTTACAGCAATTTGAAAATGGTGATAAAGATTTTTTTTTTTTTTTTGTAATATTTAATTAAAAGTGAATTTGTTTTTTATTTAAAATAAGATTAATTATTCCTCACCCTATCATATAATTATAATTATTATAATATATAAATATAATAATAAAAATATATTAGTTGTAAAATTTATTTAGTTAGTTTAGTTAGTTAGAACATTAGATAATTTTTTATTTTTATTTTAAAGATACAGGTTCAATTCCTGCACTAGATCTTTTAAATTTTTTTTGTATTATTTGTATTATTTATAAGGATGGGTCAGCTCAAATTACGTGATTTTGAGAAATTTTTATATCTGGCGGATTTTAAATTAATATGGGCTAAAAATCTATTAAAATTAAAAGAAGCACTTATTCTTTCAAAATAAATAAAAAAAAAGAAAATTTATAGACTAAAAATTATTTCATTAAACTTGAACCGAACTGCTCCAAAAGTTGGCTTAAAATAGGATCGATGTCAAAATTATGACGATCATGAACTAACTATTGTTTGATGACCAATCAAAATTTTCTTAATTAATCATCATCACATGAACTACCTGTATCTTTAATTTGACGCATGTAGCTCACATTTTTTTTAATGAAAGTAGAAGTAGAACCGATGGTGAGCCAAAATTGAGTCGAACAAATTGCTCCCATCTCTAATTATTCATATTAATTATATTATTCATAATGGCATTATTCATTTATGTCATCATGTTCATGTCATTTATGCTATTTATTATGTTCACATTATTTTTTGTATTATATAATCTTTTGTGATATTTTGCTAAATCTTAATGTTTGTGTAAATCATAATATTAATTATATGATAGCATATCTTAATAAATATATAATAATAAATTAAAGAATCAAAATCACTTTATTATTATATATTAAATAATTATTTTAAAGAATAAGTATTATAATAATGTTCATTTCCTTCACATAAACTGCATTTGCAACCTCTATCAGTTGCTTTGCCTTTACTTTTTGATTTGATAAATAACTTTAAACATTTTTTTGCTAGTCTTTCTTTTGGTTGATATTTTAGTAAATCTAAAATTTGATTAGATTTGATTAGTACTTTATTTGGCTTATGAATAACTTGATTGTTATTTGTTGCTATTTAATTTGCTAAACCTTTTTGTTGTTTAAATAATTCTGCCTAAATGTATTAAGTTTTCTTTCTTTCATTATACTTCTTTATGAATTGAATTAATTCATTATCATTATCACAAATTGCAAACTGAATTGGTTTTTTCATTTCATCCATTAAAATACCATATTTTAATTGCTTTCATAAAGTATTTTTCTAAAAGATCATTTATAATATACTTTCTGGTAAATTCTAAAGTATTACTATAATTAAAATGACTATTGGCTATTACCTCTTCATTAAAATAGCCCTCAATTGAAATAATATATTTGTCTTTATACCAATAGTGAACTGAGTGAAGTATTAGTGTCAGATAAAAATACACATTAGATGATTTAACAAATACTTTAAAAAATGCTGATACATAATACTATGAGTGATGAGCATAAAACAAGTGTTATTAGATAATTATATCTAAAGATCTTTCATATCTTGGTGATATCATTAATGTCAACTGTTGCTATTAGTAATTGCAAGTTCATTTTTCTATCTTCATTTGCTTTGGCAAAAATTTTAGCAAAGTCTTTTTCATCAAAAATTAGCTCAAATGAATCATCATCTAATGTTAGAGTTTTTGCAATTGATACTTAATATGTAAAATAGCAAACAAATTAGTACATTTGTTTATAATGTACATCATGAATAGATTAAGTAATATATTTTTTCATAATGATATTTGTGTTACTAAAAAATATTTGAATAATAAGTAGCTATATATATTGTAATGTTGATATTTTTCAAATAAAATAATGTGTATTAATAGATTCAAATTCAAGTTGATTTTTAGTAGTATTTTGAACTTGCAAAAAGAGAAGCTTGATTGTATAAATTTTAATTATCACATTTTCTGATTTAATGCATTACATGAATTGTGTTTCTGTAGTAAAATGATGTGATGTAAAGCATTTTACCTAGGTATACTTTTGATTTAACAGTATTGTAAATATATATCTTTTTTTTATAGCATATTTTTTAACTAAAACTTCAGATCTTTGCTCAAATACTCTTTTGCAATAAGAATGTTGAACTGCCTTAAAATCTTTAAGAAATTTTTGATAAAGTAATAAATTTAAATATAAATGAAAGTTTTTTGAAAAGTTTTAATAAAGATGATATAAATATTACATATGATGAGCTTTAGGAAATACTATAGAAATAGCTGCAATCATTGCAGCAGAATTATCATTAGTAATAAATGTTAATGAAGAAATTTTACATACTTTAAAATAGTATTGAAATAATTATTTATATGATTTCTGTCTTTCATCTTGTATAAATACTTAAACTGTTAATCTGCTCTTATTGTAATTATCAATTAAGATGAAAAGGCTTAATGAATAATTATATTTATTAGTTTTTGAAGTATTATCATAAATAATAATATTGTGAAATTTACTTTATCTTTCACATTACTCAGATGATATTCAGAAAATACCAATTAGACGATTACTTGTGTCATCTAATAATGGCTTTACAAATCACACAGAATTATTAGATTGTAGATTGAGAAACTTTAATAATAAAAAAGCTATATTATCCAAGCTTATTCTTTTTTTCTGTTTAATTTTTTGAATAGTATTTTCAAGATCTTAAATAAGAAATATACGGTCAGAATATTTGAGTAGTAAAAGATTTCTAATTATTGATGCATCACATTTATTATATATAATATAATATTCAATTTGCTTTATTATTTCTTGAAAAAATACTTTGTAAATAAAAGTAAATTACAAAAGTTTGCTAAAAACTTTATAATTGAGTTCAGATTTAAATTACATTATGGTAATTATTAATAAATTTAATGACCATGTTATATTTATTTGTTACATATATATACTTTTGCTTCTTGCTTCTCTTTATTTTTATTTTATCTGATATTAATAAAAGTTTCTGAATATTTCTTCTAAATCATATTTAAACACCTTTTTTTTTACAAGTATGGTGTTGGAAGTCTATATTAGACAATAAAATTGTAACACTTAAAAAATTTTCAAATTTTTAAAAAAATATAATTTTAAAAAAAATAAACTGGTAATTTTGTTTTTCAAGACAAGTACTATTAAATTACCAGTCAGTTTTTCAAAAAAATGCTTACATAAAAAGTTATTAGCATTTAAAATCAGATAATTTTCATATTATTGGCCCAAATTTAAAATAAATCTTATTACATGAATACAATTTTATTGGTCAAAATTTTTCATAGTTCAAGCTAAAATTATATCTGGCCTGAATTATCTTCACAAAAAAATAAGTGATTATGAAAAAATTTTTAAATTTTCATATGTAAATAATAAATTTTATTCAAATATCCAATAATCATTTTTTAAAAATACGGCAAATGCAGATTAGCAGAATACCTAGAAAAAAAAAAGAATGTTACATATTAAAAAATCAAGCAGAAACTGAAATAAAGGTTGTTAAAAGTAAAAAATAGATGAATAATAAAATTATTAAAAGAACAGAAGGTGAAATTGTTAGAATTATAATATGTTAGCTACTTTCATATTGCTGAAATCTAAAATAATTAAATGCGTAATATTATATTCATATTATAATTGAAACAAAATTATGTAATTGTTAAGTATAGACTTTTGGCACCATACTATCCAAAAACTTTTTGCTTTTATGCTTAAAAATGGCAAAGTTCTTTGTAAAATATATTGTTCTATAAAATAGATTGCTATCAGTATAAAGTAGAATCTGGTTACCATTTCAAGTTCAATTAAATTGTTAAGTAAAAGTAAACTACTAACAAAATCTTTAAATTTAGAACTTAAAATATTTTTAGTAAAGAGCATAATGCCTTCATTGTTTTTATTATTATCATTATTATCATTATTAGCAAGTTTATTAAATGGTATAATCTCAGAAGTCATGATTAGAGAGTATAAAAGTAAAAAAAAATATGACATAAAAATGATCATTAAAATATTACAGTTAACTTTATAAAAATTAAAATATATAGGTTTAATATATATTTGAAAAAAAAATTCAATAATTTAATAAGAAACAAATCTATTTCAAAGTTTAAAATAGTAAAAAAAATATTTTATGATTTTAATGTATTACAAAACAAGTGTGGCAAATAAAATTGCTTGGTAAAATTAGGAGGTTTAGCAAATAGGTAAAATGATAAAATATAGTAATTTAATGAAACTATATTAAAGTCTTATTAAAAAGTTAATGAAACTTGATAAAAAACAAAATTTGTCAAAATCTATTATAAATGGCAAAACTGATAAAACTTTATGAAACTATAATAAAACTATAGTAAAAATTTGGCAAAACTAAGCACAGGATTTTAAAAGAGTTTAGACAAGCAATCCTAGTGGCAAAAAATTTTAGCTAATAAAAATCCAGTGGTATGATTCATACGACATATCGCAGGTATGATAAAAAACAAATTCCAAAAAAATATATAAATCCATTTCTTTTTATTTATAATTTTAAAGATCCAATCTTTAAGAAACTGAAATACAAGTTCAAAAGGTATTTCTAAAAAAAAAAGAATTATAAGTAATAATTATTGCATTAGTATTAAAATAGAATTTCTAATAAATTAAAAAGTAGTTTATTTAAAATTTTTATTTTAATATTAATTATATACAGTATTTAAAATTAACATATTATAGAATTTTAAAAAATTATTTAAAAAAAATATCTTAGAATATGATAATAAAAGAAGTAATAAATTTATTTATTCAATGATTAAAATACAAATAAAATTATAAAATTCTAATTGAAAATTAATAATATAATTATATTGACTAATATAACTGTACGATTTTTTAATTGTATATTTCGTATATTTATTTTGTGCAATAACATGCATAAAATTGTTTTTAAAAAGATAAAATATGTTAGATCATGTGATCTATTTTTAGAACACAGAATTGATACAAAGTTCGACGACTTTCAAAAGAGTGTACGAAAACACAAGCTTGTTGTTTAAATATTCTTATAATATTTTACTTAGATTTGCTTTAAAAATTTAATAAACATATCGAGTTGCATACTACCAATTGAACCTTTTATAAGACAATTGGAAAGTTGCAGTCTTTCGTTTTCTTAACCCTG